CCCCAGTTCCCCATGCCTGTTTTTCTGTCTGGCTTTCTCAGGGGTCTAGATGAATGAAATGGAAGAACAGAGGTGTGTTATTGCACCCGTCTTTTTCTGCTCCTGATCACGTGCACCTGCACCGCAGCTTTGGGGGAAGGTGTCGTCCAAGGGAACTGTAGTCTGTGGCCACGCTCTCAAGTCTTTGTATGTTCAATCCACTTCTCAATAAGCCATCCCACTTTAAAAAAAAGCAACCTGTAAAACCTACTGCTGTTGGAGAATGTACAATGTACTTGTTTGAAGAGTTATTCCTATTATTTTGCATTACATACGGCAGACATGATGATCAAAATGTTCCAAGATGGCCAAAGTGTCTGCTTTAACCGTGTTGGTGCAACACGGTGGTTTCCGAGTGGCCTGACAGTCGCCATGGCCTCCCAGGATGTGGCTCCATCACATGTGTTGATACTTTCTTGTTTTGTGTTCTGGGCAATAATTTGAAATAGTTTCTTATCCTCCGTTGTGTTGGGCTGGCTTCCTTCTGTTCCTGTAGGCAGCTGCTTTTCCTGATTGTTTGCTAGTTTTTTTTGTTGTTTTTTTTTGTATTCTGGAGTTGAAGAATTCTCCGTCACCGCCCTTGTCAACGCCTTGGTAGTGTTTACAAAAGAATGGCACCAGCAAGGTAAATACTTTTTATAACCCAGGCTCCTGATAGGTAAATAAGCTTTGTTTGCAATTTACGTATACGAATCCTACGACGATTGTAGCTTATAGTATCCTTTAGAGGCCAGTGGTAAAGATAGACCTTACAAACAATTATTGGTGTATTGAAATGTGTGGTTGCATAGATCTTTCTGTATACTCTCTTCAAAGATCTCTCTTTTAAAACTTAGCAACACATGTACTGACTCTTCCAAAAACCTTTTCTGTAATCTAATATAAGTTTGCAAATTAAAATATAGATTGTTTTAATAATTTTGTATGTATAATTTGTGGGTTTTATGCGGAACATACGATTTAAGGGTCGTAATGGAAGGACAACTTTCATTTGTTTGCAGGTAAGCAGAACTACTGGAATATAATATAAGATTTATTTTAGCATGTCAAGCATTGAGGCTTTTTAAAAAGTGTCACAACGGTTTTCCTAATTTCCTTAATCGGCAAAGGACCGTGTTAAAACATATTACCGTTTCTAAGAGCCTCCATTGATTTGTGGCTGGTGATTCTTTAAAAAAAAAAAAAAAGCCAACCGTTAGGATCGACTCCCAGACTTGAGCGCTGGTGAAGTGTTTGGGGAGGGGTCTGTTGTTCAAAGGAAAGTCACAGGCAACACGTTAAACACTCCGAAGAAGATAGCTGAAAGGTGAGACCCATCAACAATATGCTCACTTATATTTTGCTATTGTAGTTTTACGTTTATCAGCTTTTAATTTAAATCTACATATTCGAACACTTGCTGACTTTAACACCGGGCTTATTTTAAAAATAATGGGTGGGCCAAGTGTTTTTGACATGGAGAGCCGATAAGGGTCAAAACTAAGCATGTGCTGCAGACACTTGATCATTTTTTGCTTTTTCAGTGCTAAAAAGCCAGACCAAAAGATAGCAAAACATGTCTGCATGATATTTACATTATTTGTATTGCTCAAAATGTCTTCCACATTTGAAAGCAAAGGTTAAACATTGTTTTCATGTTAAAATGCGGGTATGTGCATTTAAAGGGTTATTCATTGCTGTCAATAATCCTGTTCTAAACAGCTGCACACAAATCTCTGTGTAAGTGATGCAGACAAAACCAGTTCTTTATATTTTTTAAATAATTTTGTTGGTTCAAAAATATCCTACACACAAACTGTAAACAAAGCAGTATATGTTTCTATTATGAAAACTAACATGCATAAATAACTCAGCTGAAGCCTGATATGGGCTCCAGCGGAAATGTAAAATGTATCTTTGAGAAAATAAGACATTACTTTTTTCACTTCTCACTTGCATTGAGAATAAAGACAGGATCTCTTTGTGGCTACTACTACAGCCATTCATACATTCATTGTACTAACCTGGATGTCAGTATTTAATGAGATATTATTTAATATTTCCCATTTAACGTTGTATTTTAATTTACTTTATAAATATAAAATAATGTGCTTGGTAAAAAAAACACATTCAAATTGATTTTGATATTAGGACTCTGGGTTTATTGCAAACAATATTGCTTTGATTGGGCTACATGAATGTCTCACTGCTAATTGTGAATAGCCAGTTGAATGACTGAGAGTCCATCTTCATATGCTGTCTATGTTCCTGCATGTGCTCACACACAGTCAGGGACATTAGGATCATAATGGATTATCAAAAGATGATGACTCATCTGTGTGTGTGTTTTAGTGAGGGTTGAGTTGAGACACCAATCTCTCAGTCCCATTTCTCTCTCATGCTGCCTCACCGTCACCTGCGTCTTCTTATTTCCACACACTTTTAAGCAGCATTTATCCTCTGCGTCTGTTTTCTCTTTGCAATGTCTCCTCTCTTTGTTGCCTAGCAGTCTCCTGCCCTAAACATGGATATCGGAGGCCTGACCACAGTGGTAGCAAACTCTGCTTACATCAATGCTCGTGGAAGTTTTGATGGCACCAATACAGCATCATCCCGGGATAAAAAGTACCACTCCCGCCTCAGGCTGCCCGACCTCCCAGTGTGTGAGGGCCTGAGGGACACCCTGGATGTGACCTTTGACTCGGTGTGTGTGGAGCAGCCCATCGGCAAGCGCCTCTTTAGGGAATTCTTGGATAAAGATGCAAATGAGTATCACGGGGCTTGCCGTTTGTGGAAAGACCTGGAGGCGTATGACATGGCTGAGGATTCTGGGAGGGTAAAGAAGGCCTCAAAGATAGTCCAGCATTACATGGAGTCCTCTGGCAAACACTTCTGCTCCTTCCTGTCAGAGGACCTCATCGCCAAGGTAAAGGAGAACCAGGAGGCAGCAGGCGATGATCTGTTTGTAGCAGCATGGGCCATGCTGTTGGACTTCCTGCGAGAGACCCCCTACTCAACCTTCCTGGAGAGCCTGTTTCTGAAGAGGTACTTGCAGTGGAAGTGGCTGGAGATGCAGCCCATGGACGCAGACTGGTTCCTGGACTTCCGTGTGCTGGGGAAAGGTGGGTTTGGGGAGGTGTCGGCCTGTCAGATGAAAGCCACGGGGAAACTGTACGCCTGTAAGAAACTCAACAAGAAGAGGCTGAAGAAGAGGAAAGGCTTTGAGGTGAGGGAACTATTGTTATGCATGTTTTTTTCATTAGCCTTTAACTTTAAAAAGACAAATGGTTTTGAAATGGGGAATGCATTAACAATGATCAACTGTTCCAAAACATGTTTGACATAGAGGTTAATTTAAGTTTAAAATATACTCTATAAATGCTACAAGTTTGGGGTTATATTTTAGTTTCTGATATGATCGGACCTATATTATCTTATCTGAATATCAGTTTATATCCAGCCCAAGTTTACATAGTGTGCCATGATATTACTAAAATAATTTGGCTGAATGTATCTAAGTAAATGTACCCAACCATTGTAATTAGAAGTAGGCCTACACATTTGATGTACATTAATTTTACTTAAGTATTTTATTTATACTTTTACTCCACTACATCTCAGAGCTGTGAGTAATGTGTACAAGTTACCACACAAACGTTTAGGTTTTTTGCACACAAAACATTAAAAGAGATTATAAAATATGAGGGTTCGTTAACAATGCATTGTCTATAAATACAGCTGAAATTATTAGCTATTAATGAATTAACCAAACTATTTTGATCACTTTTTATGTGAAAAAATGTTTCTGGCTTCTCCAACGAAAGGATTTTTTTTGCACCGAGTACTTACATTTTTTAATAATTGAATGGACATTGCTTACATACTGCATTTTCAATGAAGGACTTTAACTTATTTATCAGTGTTTTGTTAAGATGTGATTTCTTCTGACAGCCCTGCAGTAACGTCCCATTTCCTCGCATGAGTATTTCAGGGAAATTAAAAGCCCTTTTAATTACTTGCATGCAGTGATTTGATTAAATTAGGCATTTTGCTGGCTTCATGTTGGAAGTGTGGGATTGCCACTGCTAATCATCTTTGTCCCTGCCGCTGCCTCGTTTAGCCCGCAGTATTAAACTCTGGGACAGGGATAGAGTGATTACTGGGGGCTTTACTGGAAAGCTCTTCTGTATGGAACTGCTTGGCACAGTTGCATCTTGCCCTTGGCTTGTCTGAGGACATCTTTTGAAATGCACTTTAACCTCTGTTTCAAATGGCATGTATATCAGCATACTGGCATATGGAAGAAAAGTCTCTGTGGAGTCTGTAACAAGTGTTTCCTCTCTTGAAAAAATGTCTCTTGTACCACTGTTGGTCTTTCCAAATGTCCTCCTGTAGGGGGCGATGGTGGAGAAGAGGATTCTTGAGAAGGTTTACAGTCGCTTCATTGTGTCATTGGCGTATGCCTTCCAGACAAAGGAGGAAATTTGTCTGGTGATGACCATCATGAACGGAGGAGACCTCAAGTAAGGTCACATTCCTAAAAATCCCATGTTTTAAAGCACAAACATCCCAAAAGCTGAGCATATGGTCCTCGTCCCTGCTATGCTGCTGCTGTGGCGTTTACAGTCTTTTTAATCTGACAAACAGAACATGTGTTTCTACAATATCTTTTAAACATCTCTAGAGCCAACAGAAGGTGTGCAGTCGTCCAAAAGTCTGACATCAGGGAGATTTTGTAGTGTGAAGTCAGCTGTGACACCAGATGGGAACACACACGGTGTCAGTTACCCAAATGTGCCACACTTTATTTCTAAATAATGGTTCCTACAGTGTGAGGGGTTACATGTGATAACTTGGTGACCTCAAACTGTTGTTTATCTGTAGAAAGGCACACGGACGCAGCTGCATGTGTGTCCGTTTCAGAAGAGACAGCTTTATGCAAATATTTAGTTGTTTTTTTCAACAGACATCGGACTAGAAATCACAAAAATAACATGAAGTGGTTCCCTAAAATGCACCCAACAGTCAAAAAAAGAAAAAGGGAAGACTGTAATTTGCAAAACGATAGCAGAAATAGAAGGATTCTATTATGCAAAATATGTGTATAAAAAAAACCGAATTGAGCTTAAGCTGTATATATTTAATCCTGTACATGTATGCCTTTTTATGGCCTACATGCTTTAGCCAAAGCTCAGCTGTTCTCCGTTCCCTAAAGGTACCACATCTACCTGGTGGATGAGAACAACCCGGGCTTCGATGAGCCCAGAGCCTGTTTCTACATCGCTCAGATCATCCAGGGCTTGGAGCACCTCCACCAGAAGAGAATCATCTACAGAGATCTCAAACCAGAAAATGTGCTGCTGGATAATGATGGTAATGCATTTCTCGTTGAACAGTAGAGGAAACAACATGGTCCCTGTGTTAATGATAGCAAATTACGATTAATTATTTATGTTCCCAAAAAGGGAATGTGCGTATATCTGACCTGGGTCTTGCTGTGGAGCTGAAAGAAGGCAAAACACAGACCAAAGGATACGCTGGGACTCCAGGTGGGTCTCCTCTGTTTCTACAAATGAATTTACACCGTTTAATGTGTACTTAATTATAATGTGTTTATCCATTGCTTGGCTTACGTTCTCACAGGGTACATGGCTCCCGAGATGCTGAAAGGAGAGAAGTATGACACCTCAGTCGACTACTTCACTCTGGGAGTCACGCTGTATGAGTTCATTGCAGCTAAGAACCCATTCAGAAACAGAGGGGAGAAGGTCAGTCACCTTTTCATCAAACTACAACTTGTGCACAACATGAATTACTTGTGAAATGAACGAGAGGAGGAACACTTTTGCCTGCTTTAGGTTGAACGTGAAGAGATGAAAGAGCGGATGCTGACCCGGGAGGTGACCTATGACGAAAAATTCAGTGAGAACGCTCGCTCGCTCTGTGACGGGCTGCTGGCCAGAGACGTTGAGAAGAGGATGGGCTTCAAGAACGAATGCTGCGATGAGATCAGAGCACACGTTTTCTTCAGTGACATCAACTGGAGGAAACTGAACGCAGGTGCGTTGGGAGAAGTACTCAGATCTTGTATTTGAGTGAAAGTAGAATTACCAGAGTGTAAGGATACTCTGTGACAAGTAAAAGTCCTGCATGTAAAATGTTATTCAAGTATACAAAAGTATTCAAATCCAAATATACTATATAAGTACTGAAGTAAAAGTACTCATTATGCAAGATGGTCCATTTCAGAATAATATATATGATATGTTTTGATTATAATTATTGATGCATTAAAGTGTTATCAAAGCTGGAAAGGTGCAGCTAGTTTTAAGGACTTTGAATACTGCAAGTATACATTAAGTATTTATGTTTTGATTATATTTCACATCTTTAATCCAAATCTGCTAGGTACAAAATAAATGTATTGGAGTAAAAGTACACAATTTACCTCTGAATTGTACTGGAGTAAATGTACAAAGTAACATAACATGGAAATACTCAAGTAAAGTACAAGTATCTCAAAATTGTACTCAAGTACTTGAGTAAATGCACTAAGTGACGTCCCACCTCTGCGCAGGTACCATCTGTTTCCTATACTTTCGTGTGGCATATTTTTCAGAGTTGTGTATAACTTCTACAGTTTGATACAAACATGTGCATGAATGAACTCTACTCTAGATTCAAAGCGTATTCTGTTTTTAAAAAAAAAAGCTAAAATCCCCCTAAAGTTAGATTTTGTATTTCTCTCCAGGAATTCTGCATCCTCCTTTCGTCCCGGACTCTAAAGTGGTGTACGCTAAAAGTCTGGACGACGTTGGAGCTTTCTCCTCGGTGAAGGGAGTGACCTTGGATGATCCTGATAAAAGCTTTTTTGATGAGTTTTCCTCAGGCAACATCCCCATCCCCTGGCAAGAGGAGATGATCGAAACAGGCATCTATGGAGAGCTCAATATTTGGGGTCCTAACGGCAGCATCCCCAAAGACCGCAGGGAGTCTGTAATGGAGCAGCAAAAGTCATCAACCTGCTGCGTTTCGTAGAGTCATGGAAACACCTTGAAAATACTAATAATAATAAACTTATGCGTCATGAAGACTCATACACTCAGGAAAGACACATTTCTTTTGGACTCACTAACCTCAGTTCAAACTGTTTGTGACTCTTTGATTACATGTTAACAGTGAGTGCAGTAACAAAAATAGAAAGGATGGTGATTTTCAACTTGGAGTGGACTTTAAGTAATAATGTTAAAGGTTTTATCCCCAAACTAAGTAGCACAATGGTGACTTAGTCGATGAAAGCCCTGGGGTTTACAGCTGGGGTGTCAAACTCAAGGCCCGGGGGGCCAAATCCGGCCCGTGACTTCATTTTATGCGGCCCCAAAAGAGCTTGCAAAGAATATAAAACCTTTATTATAAGATTACAGGCTGATTTACAGAAGCACGTTGCCCATAAACTACATGTCCCACAATGCATCTCTCATTAGACTTTTTTTTCAAAATGTCACTTTTTTTTAAAACTTTTTTTCCAGAATGTGGCTTTTCTTTTTAAATCATTTGCCCAGACTTCTGCTTTCAGACCTAGTTGATCATGAAGTTATTTCCCTATCCGATAATAATCCAATACAGAGGCAATAATGTAATATAATACATTATTTTATATATATTAAATATTTATACATGTATTTTTATATAGTCTTATATTTACAACCGGCGTGCAACCATAATGCTGATGTGGCCCGTGGTGAAATTGAATTTGACACCCCTGGTTTACAGCATTGCAAACCAGGGGTGTTTGGCGACATTTCCTGGATTTTTATTGCGATAGGTGCCACCAAAGAGAAGAACACAGAGATCTTCCAGATTACCCCTTAAAATGTAGATTTAGACGTTTAAAAAAGAAAGTGTTGACATGATTTCCTCTTTGTCTTCTTTGCCGTTCTCTCAGTCTTTACTATTTGTGTGTGCATGTGTTAAATGAATGTAATACTTTTAGGTTTAAAATGCATTTAAAGTATCGACTTATACTTTAAATAGGGTTAGTCATGTGGTACATTCGAGTGAGAGTGACATGTTGAACATGTACAAATGTTTATTTACTTCTCTTGAATGTGCTTCTATAGAGTGTTGGTTGTTCTTATTGAGTCTACTGTCTTTTAGTTTTAATATAAACAGCTAAATCAACTACTGTTGCTGAAATGCTAAAAGCCACCACACCAGAAATGTACATTTTAGAATTATTTATTTTAGATTTATTTATTTATTTGTTTATTTCATAGATCATAATTTAATCTTTGCACAAAGAAAAGAAACAAGAAGAGCAGAGCACCTTTCATATAAGTAAATATATTCAAGTTGTTATAAAATAAACCTAAATATATAGACACACGTTTACAGCAAATGTTTTTATTTTTGTTATTTAGATTAAAATCAGAGATATGAACTGTATAAAAAAGTGCTGGCAAATAAAATAACTTATTGTAATGGAAATGTGAGCTTAATTTCTGTTATTTTCCTTACAGCAGCTACAGCTCTGTCCAGTGATGTTGTGAACTAAACACAGATCCACACAGAGGATATGGAATTGATTTTTATCCTCCCAATTATGACCTCTAACATCTCAGGATCCTCCACCTCCCGCAGCTCCTCGTCACTCCTTGGCTGTGGCTTTGTAAATCCTCACCTCCTGCTGTGGCAGCTCGGCGAGCAGCACGGTGTTGAAGCTGCTCTCGAAACTCTCCGTGAACTTGAAATCTGACTGGAACCGGATCTTGTTGGCCCAAAGCAGCGTCGTGCGACTCCCCGGTCGGCAGAAGTGCTGCATGGTCTCCAGCAGTTCATTGATGGATCCGTGGGGGTAGACCACGTCCGCAGCGAGCACGTAGTCGTAGTGGAAGGCCGGGTAGGGGAAGTCTCTCTGCAGGTGCTGAGCCCAGGTGAGGGCGGACACCTGAGGGGTGTAGCGGCAGCGACCCCTCGTGTTCCTCAGGAGGTTAAAGGTCAGATTAGATAAGATGTCAGGCAGGTCCGTAGCTGTCACCAAAGCACCTGGAAAAGAGTAAAGAACACCAAGGCAGCTGAAGTACAGATAGTAAGAAGCATACACTGACTTTTTCTTTGATCCATTTTTAGCTCTAGTGATGCTGTGCCACGATTGGATGGATTGCCATGACATTTTGGTCAGACTACTTTGTTCTATTAAGATCTAACGTTGATCCTCTGTTTTTTCTTGTAGTGCCATATTTAGGTTGACTTTTTTCTGCATTGCCAATAGTTCACACATTCATGTCAAGTTCAATTTGCATGAACATTTGATTAGTTTTCACAGATTGAATGCTGAGTTGCCGCTATCGTATGATGTATTACAGATTTTAATTGCTGTCTTTCAGAAGCGTATACTTCTTAACGCCCAAGAAAAGAAAAAAGTTTGTTTTTATAGTTTGGAACTTGCAATCCACTTTGACATTATCTCCAACAATCCAACAATGGGTGACTTCATTTGACATCGATCCTATCACCAAGCTGAACACAGGCCAAAGATGATGATAATGAAGGGACCTCAATATCTACAGAATACCATAATCACTTTGTTTTCGGCGAGATCTTTTTAAAATGCAAGAATGTTGGTGTGGGTGGATATGCACGGTCCTCAGAGACAATGCATCCCTATGTGTTACTGACCTCCTGATGTTCCTGTGACTTCCACCAATAGGTCAACATTTAAATTTGGCACAAAAGATGAACAGATGCTATTAAGATATTCCTTGCAATAAATCCTTCAAGCTTGCCATCTAGCACCCACAATCAAATGGTACTGGGATTTTTTTAAGTAGGTGTTAGGAACATTGAGTGTCAAGACCAGTGAAAGTTGTTGCCAAATGGACTTTTATAGACTTACCGAGCAGACTGGCCACTATTGAGAGCAAGCCAGTCCCAGCTCCAATCTCCAGAACAGCTTTGTCCATCAGGTTCAATTGCTGCTGGTTATTCTCCAAGAACTGGCTCAAAGCTATCCCCTACAAAGTAAATCACTCATGACTACATTTGCAGCCAAAGAGTAGCTCAGAGTATGAGCATTACACACAGTAGCAGGACGTACCCCGGGCCAGATCAGAGCACCAAAAGTATCCACAGACTCGCGGATGCTGATGTCATGACCTGCGATATAAAAAGACTCATTCCCCAGTGCGCAGCAAACACTCGGCTCCCAGATGTTCCTTCTGTCCAGAGCCTCTCCTGCCATCACGTTCTGGTCTGTTAATGCTGTAAAGGAGAGTGTTAAATGAAGGTTATAATTCTGCAGACCTTATTCCAAATCTGCTTGAACATCAACATGAAATGATGTAACTGTAAATGCTTAATAAATTCACCAATAGTCCAAATAAAACAAACGTAAATAGCCTACATTTGAATAAACTTGTTTAGAAACCTTTTATACAAGACATGCAGCTCAAAGTGGTTTACATTTAAAAACAGTGAAAAGTTTGAGATGAACTCCAGACACGAGGTGAGGCAGACTATCCCCAGATTGGTGTTTTATTACCTCTTAAAACATAGAGGGTGAAAACATCAGAGCATGAGTATGTGTTGAAATAATCATTGTTGAAATTGCATTCACAACTTGATATTCATTTAGGTGTAGGCCTAAGCCGTGTTGACAATATGCACATCTTTACTTTGTATTATCCGGATCATCACAAACCTTTGCATTATTTCTCTGGCTAGGAATTGTGTGTTTATTTTTAGAGTGCATCGTAAAAATAATTTGTGTGTTTGTGACTTCTTTTAAACTCTGTTAAAGTTTTACTGTGTTGACAATCGCCTAGATTTGGTGTACTAGTCCCTTTGGCTGTCATTGGACTCCAGTGTGGATCCCAAAAACACAGCTGGTTAAACCCCAGAGGTCAACAGCATGACATTTCTCTCTACCTCCCCATGCAAATATGCACATTTCTATACAAATATGAAGGACACAGTTTGATGTAATTTGAATCCAAGCACTTTCATAAGAAGTATATAAGAGTTATTTACGAAACTTATTCACGGAAACATTAAGAACAAACACTTTAAATATGCTGCTGAAACATACCTGTACGAAGCAGTCGCTGTTTCTCTTGTGTGTCTGAATGTTTCTCTGCTGTGTTCTTGTGTTTATAGAAGCAGCATCATCTGTGACACACCCCTGAGCGAGGCTGCAGCATTGGGCAGACAGAGGCAGAAAAACTGATTTATAATCTCCGACAGATATGAGCAACCCTGAGCCCTCCCAGCTCTCCAACAGCATCTCTTGTTGTGTGGATATTCTATATTTAACTCAAACGAAATCAACACACTTGTTGCTTTATAATCAGGTTTGACATTTGTTATTTTTTCTGAAGAAAAATCCTAACATCTGCACTACTTCTCCTCCTCGCATCCTTAATGAACAAGACATCTGGCTTTCAGCAGGGATTTCAGGTAGGACTGTAATGCCAACACTTGTTCACACTGTGCACGGTGCCAACATATTTACATTTTTATCCTTGGAGTGGGAGATCTTTATGAGGTTTGTTATGGTATGTGAGATGGATGTGTGCCACCTGGAAGGCTCCATGGAGACAAGTGTTCATTTCTAAAGTAATTAACAGAAGCGTTGAAAACTGTTTTCACAAGCCTGACCTGAAACTGACACTATTCCCTTTGAATTCCTTCATCAAGCTTTTTCCATTCCTCTCTTTTACAGACGGCATCTCTAACCTGCATGCTTTTCCCTTCTCTCTACATCCTACCTGCTAAACCACTTGGACTTCAGTTTATTAGTAATTTAACCTTAGGATACGACATTAAACCTTTGAATCTGAATTGTATTTAATGTAACATTTTAACCCTCTTTTAGACAGCAAGATCCTCCTTAAAACATCACAAAATCAACGACAAAAATTACGAACATTTCAGTACATTTTTCCAGGGAATTTATAACTTTATTAAATGCCGATGGTGGCAAATGAGGGTTAGAGATGCGTCGAAGGTCTTCAACTTTGAACCTGGATTGCTGCAAAATTCAGAAATCCTGATTCTTAAACCGAACACACAAATACATAACATAGATTACCCTCCCATGCTCTCCCAAAAATGACCATACCTTCAACCTTATCTGACCCCCCCTCCTCTTAATCAATCCCATAAACATTGTTGCATAGTCCACAAAAACAACATATGCCATCAACTGCATCAGTAAATATGAACAGTAGTCACAGATTTAATCACCATGAGATGCAGACAACTCAAATATAATGTCATCTACGACTTTAATTATTATATATGTCAAAAACCTTTTTAGAAAACACCTGTTATGGGACTATTTTGCTTTTTAATAAAAAAACATTTGATGCCCTCAACATTGTGTCAAATGTCACAAAGTAATAAATATCAATGCTTTAAAAAAAAAAAAATTCCAATATTATGATGACACACTGAAAACCCCCTTTTATTGCTGGTATTTATCTGCACACACACACACACACACACACACACACACACACACACACACACACACACACACACACACACACACACACACACACACACACACACACACACACCTCCTCTCCT